GGCACCCAATGACTTCTTCTTGTTCCCGAACGTAAAGAATAAATTGAATGAACAACGATTTTTGTCGTCGGAAGAAACCGTTGTTGCATTTAAAAACCATGTTTTTGATGCGTCTGAAGAAGATTGGCAAAAATGCTTTGAGAAATGGTTCGCAAGCATGCAAAAGTGTATTAACCATTAAAGAGATTTCAGAATTTGAAAAGATAATCCCAATAATGTAGAAAAGAGACAAGAATATCAATTTGCAAAATCGAAAAAATTAGTAGTTTGAAAATAAATGGCTGAGAGGTAAATATATATATATTTATATATATATTTATATATATATGTTATATCTACTAATATAAATACAAAAAATCGTGCAACCATGTTTATATCTATTTAACTAAATACTACCATACTATTTTTTCCGAAATGTCAAAATACTACCTTTTTTTAGATATGGGCGACGTTTTTTTTTTCATTGACATTTCAAAATTTTGTAAATCACGTACTAATCAAGTATTTTTATATATTTTTTATACCTGCATAAATAAAAGATGGTGAAGTGCAAATTTTGCAAATATATAATGGAATTTTTTAGTAAACTTTTCGGGTGCGTATTTAGTTAATAAGAAAAAGTCTTAGGTGAAAAGTTTTATGGAAGAATTTTAAAATTTAAACATATTTTTCTAATACTTCCTTTTAATATATATATTATTATGTTACATCCAATCATATACATTTAATTTAATCATTTTCGAATGACTATAGATCATATAGACGAATTTCAGCAATCACTAAAGTCTTCTATATTATATATATATATATTTATATATATATACATGTATATATATTTTCTTGATTGTATTTGTAATGTGTAAAAAACTTGCTGTCAAAAAAATTTTCTTATTTCTATATTTTTAATTGACATGTTTAGTCAAAATATTTTTTCTTAAGAAATTGTAGATAAAAATTTTTCAACTTTTTTGAAAGATATTTTGTACGTTTGTTATTTTTGAAGTGATATAAAATCGCGACTTTTCTATTAATTTAATTATTTTACAACTGTTTTAACAATAAAAGCTTTTGTAGAATTTTTTTCCAATACGAAATCGTTAGTACCATCTTTACCAAAATGTTGTCGGCCATAAAGAACTTTTGCAGGTATCTATCAATCAATATTTTTAAAATAAACTATTTTATTTCGAATACTTCATTATATTAATTTAAAACTTGTAGTAAGTACAGTTTTAGAAATTTTGCACATGCGGGACATTTAACGGTACACCAAGTATTTATCTAATTAAATTGCCAACGTCTTGATTTTATCACCTAACAAATCTGATACATAATATTATCAGCCACTGGTATGTACAAGGGTGTGATTTAGGGTTCAAACTGCAAAATCGTCTCCTCCAAGAGAGTTAAGAACATATGAAACTAATTAAAATAAATTTTCTCTAATGTTTTCCTATGAACTTTAAATTAGTTTTTCGAATAGAAGGAATAGGTTGATTACATGGGTGTATATAAGTCTCTTCCGCTTAACTACCTCTCAGCCATTTATTTTCAAACCGCTAATTTTTTCGATTTCGCAAATTGATATTCTTGTCTCTTTTCTATATTATTGGGATTATCAATAATATCACTCCCCAAAATGTTAATGTTCTTAACAAAGTTATGAACAGCCTCATCTAGAAATTTGCTGCTGTCACTATACTTTTGCACTTGAGATTGTTAGACATTTTGCAAAATGTAATTGTTTCTTTTTATACACCTATGAATAATCTCCTCTAACTATCTGCTTCAAAATGTCTGGGCACTATTTATAATCGAATAGAAGTTTTTTATCAGCTACAGACATTACCACAATAATCGCTTTCAGCAGACTCTGTGCAATCTACTTTAGAAGAGAATAGCATCCTACTAGGGGGTGATATAATTTATTAAATTTTCTTTACACAACATTTAAGTGTATATAATTCGGTCATAACCTAAAATAAAAAAAATTATCTGCGTTTATTTTGAAAGTTATTTTTAAAATACCAAAAAATCTTGGTATTATTTTTCTGTATTTGGGTTAATACTCAGTTTTATCTTATCTTATGTTGTGATTTTTCCGAGTTAGTGCAACTGGGCACTTTTACTCTTTCTTGGCTGGCTAACTTCTACAGAGTCCCTTCCTTATCTTTGACTAATTTATGTATTCTTCACGAGCTGCGCTGATTATTCGATGACTGATCCAAAATCTACATACCGCTCCGTACGGCTAGTGACTGCTCTAAGATTAGATAGTGCTATGTTCCTTTTGTATTTTTTGACCGGCCTATTACCTTTGTAGAATTCTGTTACTTTTAAAGACCAACCTTAGCAAAACGATTGTCACATCTACACACAAGTGTAGTATATCATTAGTTATTTGACTTCTTCATATGTTATTGAAAAATACTTTATTAAAGTATCGTGAAATATCTGCGCGACCTTTTTTTCTAGTTTGCATGAAAACTTTTCTGAAGAAAAAACACTTAATTTGACATTTATTTTTTTTTTTTGTAGACTTATATAAAAAAACTTGGAACTTGTTAACCTCATTTCAATTTGACGAGAACAAGAAAAATAAATATTAATGATTTCAGTTCCATTCACTCACTCATTTACAATAATGCAAGTCACAAAATATGTTAGCTCCATTTCACCACATAATCTGTTCGACTTGGTTGGAGTCGATGTTAAGTTGTACTGTACTCCTTTCTAAAGTAGTTGCTTCTTGGAAAGTCTTACACTCACTAACTTACTACACTCTGTGACCCAATTAATCGTTTTCAGTAAATACGTGCCACGCAATGCCTGTAATTATGCTAATACTTAAATCATATGGACAGTGTCCTTTATGTATTTTTCTTCCTGATTAAACGCAGAAAAGTCCACTTCTTACTATTGTATACTTAGAATTAATAAAGTGTATTTTTGTACATGCCCGGCTACGACTGATTTAGTGATACGAGTAGCAATTTGAGTAATATAATTCATGTTAGCACTTAATAACAATTAAAAATTATTTAAGCAAGAAACAATAAACTTAATATATTTATTTTACTTATATGACACTTAATTGGCACTTTAGCATGACGTAGTAGAATTATATATACCTAAAATATGATCAACTGTGTAAAGCAACCAGCCAACTAGGCGGACAGTCGTGACTTAAACTTTCTTCATACTTATTACCATGTTTGTTTATTAAAATATCAGTACATTTAAATTAAATAGAGAACAAAATATTGATTTTAATTAATAGGAAACTGTTTATTAGATCTAATATAAATATACCAGAAATATATATACTTTTTTTATATACAAATCATTATACAAATTTTTTTTTTCGACCATCTTCCACTATTTCTCGGTTGAATCTAATATTATTTTATTTTAAAATTCCAAGATCATATCTTCGAAAAGTTAAACAATTTTCATAGTTCTCTGATGCAGTCAATTTTAAGACAGGTCTCTAAAAGATCGGAACCAATGATATTACAACATCAGAACTAAGCAGTAAATTTAAAGTTTTCTAAAAAAACGTCTTTCAAGTTTTGTTGGTATTTTTTTATGTTGGAACTTCTCTTAATTAACCTTAGACTCTCTTTTTCAAGTTTTGTCTACAGCTGCAATAATTGCTAACAGCAAAAATCCTTTCGAGTCAGTTGCATCGCATACGGTAGTAGTACATAATAAATATCATTCTCAGAACCCTACCAAAAAGAGCGCAACAGCTTTATTGTCATCAATCCTCGATTGTTATCACTTACAGAACTTCATATCCTTTTGCTTAATACCCATTTTCATATGACAATATCATATATGGTATATTCGTATATAACCAAGAATTACCATAAAGTTATTATTAGAGATTTAATCTAATGAAATTTTTTTTTCTTCGATTTTTAAAACATCGAGCCTTTTCTTTAAACCAGATTCTTCAATTACTTAACTATATAATGGTGACCATTTTTTTTCACACTTATTGATCTTCTTAAATATTGATCATCTACTCTTCCTGGCCGATCAAAGCAAACAAAATATTGCCATATGTCAGACACAATGTAATACCAATACTGTTTGAGGAATATTAGGTAGAAGGACTTTAGAATAAATTCATTTTCCATTCAACTGACTGTTATTGTTCATGTTGTTGTTATATGCTAATGTATGTATGTGTGCAAGCACAAGTATGAATGCAAGTAAAATTTTAAGTCGAATTTGCTGACAAGAAAACTTATTACTTTTCATTAAAAATTTTCATCAATTGTCGTAAGTAAATATAACACTCCTGGCACATAATTACAACATCGATATATATATACATATATATATTTAAGACGGCAATAACAGATATTACAATCAGCAGTCCCAACATGCTTGCGTATCTATAATGTGAATATCTCAGGACTATTGCTAAATTTACAACTAAGTTTATATGTGTGTTGCGGTTGTAAATTCAATTTTAATTTTTTATTTAATGACGATAGTTAATATTACTGACACACTCTTCCGTACCTCCCATATCTACCCACACTTTCCCAAAGTTCGTTGAACCGCTTTTTAATAATCCATATTGAGTTGTCGGCAAATAGTTTCAAAAATACTATAGGCCAATAAAAATAATTGACGCTTTAAAATAGAGTAATTGTAACTCACGTGACTTACCGATTACCCGGAAAAGTCAATTATAATTAATTCATATCACAGAACAATTTTAAAGAAAAATTGTGACAAAACAATTTATATATATTATCTATAGTACTGTATTCAATAGATAAATGTGTTCGTGGTCGTTGTGTTTTTATAAAATAGTAGTGCAGCGCATTTCTAGTTGCTTGGACTTTCTGATATAGAGAAGTCGTTGTTCACTACACTAATTTATTTGTTTATTTTCTTATTAAATATAATATAAAATAACTTTTAATAAATATGATTAATTTAAATAATTATTAACTGATTTAATTTTTATTTTTGTTTAGTAAATCTCCTGATCAGACCACATGCGAAACCCTGTCACCAACTCAACAAGACGCTTCAAAACTTGCTGCTAATGCTTCGGTAAAAACTGCTAAAATTTCTCAGTTAACATCAGAAGCAGAACTCAATGATGGTACAATTGCAACATCAAAGTCAGTCAACACCAGTTCACCTATATCCATAAAATCGACAACATATTCACAGAAGTCGACAGCTTCTGCAAAGTCTGCTCGCAGTTCGAAGCATTCATCCGCAATTAATTGGCGTGATGTTAATAAAATTGAAGTAGAAAAAGTTGATAATGTGGATTACATTATTTCATCGCCGCGCACTCATATCCATCGTGGTGATGGTGATAGCAAGCGTGTCGAGTACGACTCATCAGTCAACTGGTGTCATCATCCTGAAAACTATGATGCTGCAGCACGCAAAATTGCATCAGGTGTGATTATAGGTGTTCCCGATAATAGCATTATAAGCAATACAGAAAGTATACAAACACTACCGAATATATCGCCTGCATTATCACGTACGCAATCTCAGAAGTCCCTGCCCATTGAAGAACATATTGAAACCAGTGATAGCTTTTTGGTTGTTGAAGATATTGACAACAACCCAACTGAAAGTGTTGTTACCAGCGTACATAGCACACCAAATAAGAAACAATTAAGCGGTAGGAACTCTCCAATGGGTTCGGTAATTTTGGCTAAGAATGAAAGACCAGTTTCTTCGGGTGTGCCATCTACACCTGCTTCACAAACACGTTCTCGTTCTCCTACTATTGCGGAAATAAAAGCTTTATCACGTCGTAGTTCTATTTTTGGTTCAATGGACAATATGTATGAACGCCCACCTTCAAAGCAAGACTCTCTCGATAATACAACAGAAACAAGCTCACAATCAAGCGGTACTGATAAGCACATTTTGTCGAAAAAAACTGTTTTAAATGACCCAGTTAAGGCTAAAAAAGGTCTGGTGTTGGGCAATAACCACAAACGTCGTGTTTCACCAACCAAAGCGGCCACTACAGGCGGCATTTCGCTTCTACTAGCAAAGAGCAGCAGTCCAGACGGCAAATCATTTCCCAGCACTTTGAAGCCGTTCGATAGACCACGTGAAGCTCTACTTAAATCGTTCGACCAGTGCGAGGACTCAAACTGGGAGCAAATAATGGAGGGTCTGACCTCTATGGTGCGTTTGGTGCGTTTTAATCCAGAAGTTCTTGATCCGCAAATGCATATGATCTGCATAAATTTTACACGTTGCGTACGTAATTTACGTTCGCAAGTAGCGCGTGCTGGTTGCCAGGGAGCCGCCGAACTATTCACCCTAAAAAGCAAAGCTTTGGAATCGGAGGCTGAAGATTTAGTGTGTGCTCTACTGTTGCGCACAGCAGATACCAATCGCTTTTTACGCAAAGATGCAATGACAGCTTTGGATGCTATGGGCAGTCACATGTCACCAGTAAAGATTTTAAACATTCTTACTAATAAATCTTCTGTACATCCAAATGCCATAGTTCGAGCAACATCCTCACGGCTTTTATGCAACCTTACTGAACGTTTAGGCAACGATAAAATTTACACTATGCAACGTGATGTTCGCGAAAAAATATTTCTCACCGGCGCCAAATTTTTATCAGAAGGTTCGCTAGATGCACGCACTCATGCCAAGCAACTTTTCCGTTTCCTGTCTACTCATCCCAATTACGGACGTTGTTTGAATGACATAATACCGCAGCGCATATACCGCAGCATTCAAAAGACCCTGAATAATTTGAATTAAAACTATTCTCTATAACTCTTTGACAACGATTAGGCAAAATTATGTTATAATCTATATCATATATTTTGGAATGTATATACAACTTTAAACTATATTTTTTTTTTTTTATTTTAAACGAGACTCAGTTCAACATCACCAATAAGAGAAGAAGCACATTTTTTATGCGATTTGAATAATATCTGAGTTAAAATAGAATAAAAGTATGTTTAAAAAAAGTAGTTTTTAAAAAAAACGTAAAAATATATATATTTTAGAAATTTTAAATATTAGATGTGAATTATAATAGTGAATGAGATTTATAAACCAATAAAATAACATTTTATTTGGACTCTCAAACACCGTTGAAATTTGAAAGATAAATAATAAAATAGAAAACTAATTTACATAAAATAAAACATTGTCTTTTATTTAAAACGTATAGCAAAAAAACTTAATGAAGAATAGTTAGAATAGAATACAAAAATATAGAATAGATAATAAATAAAAAAAATAGTTAATAAAAAAAAATAAAATTAATATGACACATTTCAATTCACTCGTGACCCACATCCAACATAGTTTAGTGGATAGACGGCTTCAAATAAGTAAGACTTTATTTTCAAATTTTTAAAATATATTTTATTCAAATTTTGTTTAAATTACTTTAGTAAAAACTAAAATAAATCGTTTGTACCTCAGTTAAGTCTTATTTAGGCTAATCTGGTGTTTTCGTTGCGATATATATAAAGTCAAATTTCAAACTTTTATTTTATTTTATTTTATTTTATTTTAATTCTGAATTTTACAGAATTAAAATATTCTGTAAAATTCGTGATATTTTAAGGCGACACCGTCATATAATAAAAAAATTAAATGTCTAGAAAAAAAAATTTGTTTATGAAGTTTAAATGCGCCTAATCATTAATAGTTCAATTCACCTTTATAAGTTTTTTTTCTGTTTCAATCACTTAATAATCTTCGACATTTCTATTATTTATAAATAAATAAATGTATAAATATTATATTCATACTATTATTTTTTATAACATGCTGGTATACTAATATTATATGTATTAATATATAATATTATATATTATTATATTATATTAATATAATTTTTTTAAGTTTAATTAGTTTTAACCACTTAGCTTGTCCTTTTTTTCTTTGCTATTCGAAACCCTTTAAATATTAATATAATCATATTTTATAATTTTAGATAAATATTATTATATTTATATTATCATCATATATTATAACTTTAGATAACTTTTATATAAATTAATATTATATTATTATCATCATATTTTAAAATTTAACATAAATATAATAATATTTAATATTACATTATCATTTTATTTTATAATTTTAGATAAATATTATTATATTTTATAATAATGTATTATTATTATATTTTATAAGATATTAATATTATTACATTAATATTACTATATAAATAGTATTAAATTCATAATTTTACATAAATTATGTTTTAATTTTTTATACTACATTAATATTTTTATATTATTGCAATTATATTATGTTAATCTGACTGCATATAATTATATTTGAAATATAATTATATGGAAATTAATTTGTTAATATTATTATATAAATATTATTTCATTATTATAATTTTATAAATATTACATACTTATTATTATTATATTATTATTCTTATATTAATATTATTATATCAATATTACTTACTGTAGTCAATATAATTACATTAACAATATTATTATAATTATTAACACATAAAGTTTGCTCGAAAACGTGAACATTTATATCTTCACATTTGCTACTATATAAAAAGTAGCAACATTCTCGATATTCATATTGTAATATATTTGTAATATGTATAATTAGAAATATATACAAATGCATTAGAAGTATGATACAATTATTACATGTGATTGTTAGACCAATAAACATATATAAAAATTATAATAATACATATCTAAGAAATAAATTACCAATAACTTTAATGTTAACTCACAAATAAATAAATTAATAAATTAATTACTTTGTAGTAATCGCTCAAAAAATGAACTGTGGACAACATTAACACATACACAATTATATATATAAATGCAATAAAATATATTGCATATATACAAATATTATTTTGATATATACCGTACAAAAAGAACAGTATAAAAAAATTTTTTTTGTTGTAGTTCACTTCTTTTCGAAACGTCTCTACACATATCGTACAGAAACTACATACATTAATATATTATGTTATTTACACATAAATGTTATATTATAATACAAGTTAATAATAGTACACATTAGATTAACTATTAAATGCACACATGAAAGTACGTGTTATATATTACTTTATAATATTAATTAATTATATTATACACAATATATGTTAAACACTATACATAATGGTTTTTATTTTAATTTTTAAGCTGTTACATGATGCATATTTATACATTTTTATATATTATGTAATTTAATAAATTATTTTTGGCTTTAAAACATATGGGTATATATGTTTATAGAGCATATACTTATTAAATATATTAAGTGTCCATATCCTCAGATAATCGATTCCTCCAAAGGCTTTTTAAACGAAGCAGAGTCAGCAAACATTCAATAAGATATGGTGAACGTCCAATCCTATACATAAAAACGTTATACATATTAGTTATATATTTACATACCATGAATTTTTGTTATGTATATATCTATGGATAAAACTTTAATATGTTTTAATCTACTTACTTACAGTTTTTATGCACTTACGGTGGGAGGGCATTTATATGGCAAATATATTTATAATATACAAAATTATTAAATAAGTACAATTTTACCTTGGCTCATTCATACAAAATATATTAAAAAAATACATGGAGTTATAGTATATATATACACACAACAACCACATACAATAAAATAAAAAAAATTTAATTTATAGCAATTAATTCTACAGTTCTACTTATAGAAAAAATTTTTAATATATGTACAACTATATTAATTAATGTATTTGTTTATAAAATTATGTAATTTATTAAATCACTCTTTTTGTAATTAAGTAGTTGTGTATGAAGTGTATGTAAAAACCATTAATATTATTCAATATTTATTGAATAATATAAATAATTATATATATTGTAAGAAAATTACATTTCATTACGGTTAAATAACATTTTATACTTATTAAATATACTATATACATAAACGTTATTATAGCGTATATATAAAAACTATTTTTGAATACGACAGCTATTTTTTTTTATTATATATATATTTACAAATTTTTGCAGAGTATACTTGCACGACGTATATGCAACACATTTATAAAATGTTTATTAATATAGTAAAATTCTAATTTTAATGTATATATAATATACAATTGTATATATAAAATGTGGTAGGTTGGTGGTGTTGTACTTAATGTATCTATTCACACAATTATATACAACAATATATACTTATATCAAATTAATTTCACTATTATATTAAATGTTATTATATATATATATTATATTAATATATAATATAATATATATATTGTATATTATTATATATATTGTATATTATTATATATATATATTCTTATATTATATATTTATTATAAATTATAAATGAAAATTTAAAACAAAAGTTAGATTTTAAACATTAAAACCAATTGCATTAATTAAAATCTGTATTTTTAAAAAATAAATTTAAATATTTATAATTTGTCTCCATAAATAGTACATATATAGCTATAAATTGAATATATAATTCAATTTATGTTTAACGTATTATTAAAGTACAACAAATCGTGTCTATATTTTACATAAATGTTTAAAGATATATTAAAAGTGTATTTAAAATATATAAATTGTTAAAACTAATTATTTTTGTAATTTTTTTTAATTTTTTGGTGTTATATTATTTTTATTTACGTCAATTTTTATATCTCAATTTTAATATTTTTTTTATAAATTTTTTACTTGTTATTTCCCGCTATCGCTAAGAAATTCAATGAACTTAAAAAATGTTTTTTATTTTTTGGAATTGAATGCATCAAATTTAAACATTTTTTCCTATAAATTCCTGCTAGAAATAATTATATTTAAACCTTCCTGATATAATCAGTATTTTATCGAATGATTGCTGTAGAAACTATATTGGCGTTGTTAAACTTATTGCAGAATTCATCATATAGATTCTTAGGCACGTAAATAATTTTATTATATGTGATAGTGTAGTTGTTAGTGCAAAATGTGGTCGATATCAAAGTTTCTGAATACTTGAAAAAAAATTTTAATTATTTCTATTAAATATTAATTTTTAATAAAGCTTACCTAGGAGCTTGAGCAACACTTGAACTTTGATTAGAGTTATATGATTCAAGCATGCGAGAGGAACTGTTTTGATGGTTGTCTCTTCGACTTCTGCTGCGACTGCGACTACGACGACGTTTTGCATGATAACGGGACAATGCGGACTGGTCATCATCGCTGCCACTAGAATGCTTCCTCTTCCTTCGGTCACCATAATCCAGATCGCGGCTGTGATTATGACCACGATCAAGGTTATAACCACGACCATGATCATAACTACGACCATGATCATTACGATCACGATCACGACCATGATCATTACGATCACGACCATGATCAAAACTACGATCGCGATTAGAATCATTGCCACGACCATGATCATAACCGCGATCACGTTCATCACATTCGTTTCGATAACGCCGAAGACTTTGATTGCGATTAAATGAATAATTGTTATTGCCATTGCTTCGATGCATATCTTGATGATAAGTAGTTTGATTTTCGAACCTCATACCATATTCAAAGCCGTTTCTGTTATTTGGGTTAAACTGAGATTCGAATGGATTAGTATAATAATTGTTATTATTACTATTGCGTCCACTGTATGGGTTCAAGCTGTTCACATTAGCGTTATTTGGGGAGCTACTGTTTGAATAAGTTCTGCGTGTCCTGTTACCCTTAAAGTGGGATAATCCCGTGTATAAATGCGTGGGATAAGTTTCAGGCAACTCCCATTCTCTCAATTGAGATGAACCATCGATTTTTAAAGTAATTTTACTACCATATAAAACCGTATTCTTATGTACTGCCAGAGCATAAAGAGCAGCGCACCTGTCCTGGAATTCCACGAAACCAAATGTCCTTTGGTTGCCTGGTTTGGCTGGAACAATTCTAATCTCTACAATTGGACCCATATCAATAAACAGGGCGTATAGTAACTCCTCCGTTGCCTCCCTATCTAAGTTGCCAATAAATATTGTAGTTTCTTCCGAAACATCTTCCTCATCCTCATTTACAACACCGTTGTATCCAGCATAGATTTTTCGGTCAGCCATCATTAAAGCACACTCTAATAAAACGATAAGTATATGTAAGTATTTAATTTCTCTTTTTGTATTGTTTACTAACACACAATTTAATTTAATTTATGTTTGTTGTTGATTGAACTGTCTTCTTTGCCAAGACGCTGATGTTTTACATTCACAACTTGTCAAATCTTTTCAATTGTCAAAACATAAATAAGCATTGCCTACACAACAACTTCAAGTAAAAAATTTTGATTTTTGACATTAGTATTTGACAGTTCTACGGTTGCGTACAGTAGCGGCGAGAAAAATGATAAACAATAATGTATTGTTCTATTTATCATGGTATTAAATCACAAAGAACGCACAAAAGTGTGTTTGCTTGGAAATTTTTACATGAGCACAATTGTTAATAATGAAGCTAGAATAAATATCTGACCTGAACACTTTTTTATTTATAATCATGAATTTAAAACACAAACTTGTAATAAAATAAATAAACATTTAAAGAATAACTCTACAAATTAAGTTTAAATCGCGAACAAAAATAATCTAGTATTTAGAAATAATAATATTTTTCTAACAAAAACTATGACAGCTACTGTTGATTGCAGCTAATATTGGATTGCTCTCAGTAATATTTTAATATTAATTTGTATTTATTTGGTAATGGCAGTTTAGCTGGGGGAAATAAAAAGGAAATTTATACTATAATATATTATACATTTCTAATGAAAAATTAATGATAGATTTGTTTTATTTTTTTCTATTTTCACTCTACAAAGATGGCGTAAGCTTGCAAATGCTGATGTGTCTTTATTGCAATTTAAATTCGTTAGTATATTTATAATGTAATTTTAAAACGAATCGCATGATAAGCAGCAATGCTCAGATTTAAGTTACTGATACTGAATTCATATAATTATAATTTTATTTTTAATTATTTTTATTTTATTTTCAAATATATCACTAATATATTTACAAATGTTATTTTTGTTATTTTAAGCATATAAAATTAGTAACGTTTGAGTTTGAGTTTGTACTCTAGTTATTCCAAAATAATTTCTTTTTGAATTTTTTATAATAAAACCTGTAATAAGAGCATAAATGTACATCACCATAAAAAATTTTTCAAATCATAATTATAAAAAAATATATCAACAAATGGTTTAATTATATGATAAAGTTATTAAAGAGCAATATTCTCCAATATTTTTATTCGTTGGAAAAAAAATCTACAATATATTTTATGGACTTTTAGGTTTGTGTCTAAGTTAAATTTAAAGAAATCACATGCATAGTTTTGTTTTAGATTTAAAATTAGAAAAGTAAAAAAAATTGTACATATAAAAAAGAAATTATTACAATTTATTTCATTAAAATGTAAATATTGAATACGAAATAAAAATTAAAAAAAATGGTGAAAGATAAATTCTCTCCAAATATTCTCAAGTCATATTGGCAGACAGTGCTGGCGATAGGAGAGTATAAATTTCACATTTCTATTATTCATTCGATATGGATAACTAGTTAATATTATTTGCCCTGTTTGATATTGCAGAATAACTTAAAATAAATTGTTTAATATTATCACATGTCCAATTTTGCCACTTAACTTCTTCTGCTCGTGATAATATTGGATTTAATGCTAAAACTATTATACATAAATAGATTTTATCATAGACAAATAATTTGTCTGTGGTCAAACAAACAAATTAATCTTATTTACAGTGGTGGACAAAAAAGTTGGTCAGTGACAAATTACATATCTTTAGTACATTATTTGTAATGTACTTAAATTTGAAGTTTAAATTAAATTAAATAAAAATATAACACGATTTTTGTCTTACTATCCTAAACATATTTATATATATTGTATAGCAATTAAATATTCAATTAATAAAAATAAAGATTTCATTAAATACTTACTTCTTCAGTGCCTTTGTTTACAGTTCAGCTGTTGTTTGTTTACATTTCACATATAAAACGTATGAAATATATTTTAAGCTTTGGTAATTTCCCTTGTGGGAAATTTATTTTTAGGGAAATTTATTTTTTTCCACATTTTTGAGTTTATTTACATGAAAACACTTTTTATAGTAAATCATCCTAGTGGCTATAATAAACAAAACCGCCTAATACTCCGTTTAATCTCACAATATTAAGAAAACGAGATTAAGTTAATCTACATTTTTCATCTACACCGGTTACCGTATACATTGGAGATTAATTTTGGCGTTTTTCTTGTTGTGTTTTGTTTCGTGCGTTTGATTAACTTCTGTAAATAAAGCATTTAATTACAACTTTGTACAAAAAAATTTTAATAAACATTTAATAAATACTTTTATAACAATAATTTAATAAATTTTAGTTATAATTATGTTTAAAACTGTTATTAAACATTATACTTTAGTTTTTTATTCCATTCTTTTAAGATCGTAAAAAAATGTACGAAATTAAGATATTGCCACAGTTGCAAATAAATTATTACTAATTATTTACTAATTATTATTAATTACTATTTCTAAGAAAATTGAAAATTAATCTCCACCAGAACGAGATTAACTTTTGTATGGGAAATCTGTGATTAAACAACAAAATTAGTTCTCTAATCTCAAATATTGCTTTAATCTACTTTTAATCTCACAATGTGCTATTACATAAGAGATAAGAACTGATCAGCTTCAACTTGAAATTTGAAATTCTTACTAGAGTTTTACTCATTTAGCTCTCCTTTCAACTTTTTGGGTACGGAATCACAAAATAATAGAATTTAAGCACTTATTATAAACAACTACATAATACTATGTTCACACACGCCTTAATTTCGCAAAAATTTTAATATCGTAAAAATCATAATTTCATTTCAGCAAAATTAAGTGGTTTTTCCATACAAAATTCAGTTTTGAGGTTGGGAGAAAATTAAGGAAAATGGCCTTAATTTCGTTGAAACGAAGCCTGAAATTAAAAGAAATTTCAAATGCAACTATGCGAAATATAAATTTTAATCAAATGATCAGTTAAGAAAACGAAAAGTAAACAGCTGACTTAAATAAAACCAAGAAAATATTTTGAAACTAGTGTAACTGTTATTAATTTAAAATAGAGTGAAAAATAATAATCCACATACCTGAAATCCACTAAAGTTAATAAAACTACTGAATGTCATTCTTTATGGTTATAAGAAACAACTTTTAAAATTTCACAGACAAATTGGTGTTTTGTGCATGTAATTTTGAATATACAATTTGTAAACAAAAAGCATATGATATTCTTAATTTGGGGCAGTATGAACACTTTTCAAATTAACTTAATTTCATTGTAACGAAATTAAGAAATTTTGGCTGTCAAACACAGTATAAGGAAACAAACCTTTTAATTGCATTTTCACTACACGGCTTTTTTTTATATCCATTACTATATGTTTCTTACTTTTATCTGGCAACATCATATAAAAATCATGATATTTTTTTTAAGTACATGTGCAATTTTTTACAAACACCCTCTTAACCTAACCTGTTTTTAAATATGTGTATTTAACTAATACTTCCATTAAAAACAACGGCATATTAAAAATGAATTTTATGTCGAGTCATTGTGCGCCATTTTATTTTAGACATGCTGTAAATTTAAAATTTGTGGTTGGTAACAGATGAAACTGGGATGCCATATGCAGAAAGAGACTCTAATTGGACTTTGTATTCCCTATGACGAAAAAGGTTTCTTGGGAAAATCATTTTCCTTGACATACAAAAGTCCTTTCGTGGGCAATAACAATGACACAATTAAAATAAAAATAACCTATGGTATACCTAATAATGGAGGAAGTCGTCTCTATAATTGCAAAGATATATAATAAGAATAAACAATTAGGAGAACCCTATAGAAAAGTTGTGGTAAACCTTGCGATAGACACGCGTTACAGCACACTTGAGGACGTTAAGATTTGATTATATGGCATGGTTCCAAGAACGGCCGCGTCTACGTCCCGGTTCCAATTGTCGCTATCGACGACCAAGCGTCATTCGACAGCTCCCAAAGGGACTTCAGAAGCAGGTCCCAACAATATGGTGACGTAGTAAGGAGCTAAGAAAAAGCGATTCGGGCAAAGAGGCTAGTCGATATGTGCATATTGCACGTAATAAAATTAATTAACTAAAGAAGATGATATATATTTTTTCTTTTTGTTGTTTATCGGATCAGATTACATTACCTTTACAACAGATCCAGGTTAAATAGTGGGAATTATATAAATATTCCACTAACTTGTTGTGATAACATTCGTCTATTTTATGTTTTAGATGGTGTTTCATATTAATCAGATCGAGCACAGCACATTCGATTAAGCTTACATTGTTTAATTAGTCTCTGCAGAGATTAACTCTGTCCAAGTTGTGTACCATTCTTTAGTGATGCAGGTAATTCCCTAAAAATTTAGTTCCTTAAAAATAGAAATTCCCTTATCGAAATAAATTAAAACGCCAGAATTTTTGTAGCATGGTTCACAGAAAATTATATTTGAGCTATTTTAATTGACAAATAGGATGTTATTAATTATAGATAAAAGCAGAATAAATTAAGGATACGAGATCAAAACATTGAAAGGAAATAGAACTTAAAAATATTGTATTGAAATTAATTTAAATTTAGATGAGAATAATTAAGATATAGATGAAACTAATTTAAAGTAATATGTAATTAAATTGAAATCAGATGTAATAATATAAAATCCTGACAAAATTATTATAACTTATAGAAGAAATTAAATTTAAATGTATGGAAATTTGATTTGAATTTAATTAAAATTAAGTTGGATGGACTGATATTGTATAAATATATTTGGATGTAGTTAGATTAAATTTATTTGTACTGCGATTACTTTTGGATACCCATACTGATTTCAATGCTAACACATACACAGACACTAAGGATTAAATATATGGACATTAAGGATTACGACATACAGACATTAAGGTTTACACATACTGACATTAAATTTATATATTTGGCAATTAGTTTTAAAAATTTGGCAATTATGTTTAAATATATAATAAAATTTGAATTTATCTTGGAGTTTTGGGAATATTTTGGGGTTAACTTTATGTTATCGGGAATTAAATTTGGATGGATTAAAAACAAATTTGGATGGATTAAAGACAAATTTAGATGGATTAAAGACAAATTTGGATGGATTAAAGAATTGAGTTTAAATTTAGCTATACTGAGTTTACTGAGTTTAAATTTAGATTTCCTGAGTTTAAATTTAGATTTCCTGAGTTTAAATTTAGTAAGGCTCCAGCTAGACTGAGTGTAAATCTATATAAATACTGAGTTTAAATTTAGACACAAATACATTGAAATTACGTTTACACACACTGAGATTAAAATTTTAAATGTTCTGACATTAAATATAGATTTACTGATATTAAATTTAGATATGCTGAATTTAAGTTAGGTTCAATTGATATTAACTTTAGATATGCTGACACTAAATGTGTATGGAATGAAATGAAGTTTAGATGTACCGATAGCAAATTTAGATATGGCGAAAAGAAATTAAGCTGTAAATTTAAGCTGTAAATATGCTGAATTCAAATTGAGATGCTAATTATTAATTATAAATATTAATTTTAATTGTAAAATTTGCTATTAATTAATTCTGTGCTGATATTAAAATTAGGTGGAACGAAAATTCATTAAAATTTAATCTCGGCACATACTGTAATAAAAATTGTATGTACTGAGATTAAATTTAGGTGCACTATCAAATTTATCAAATTTATCAAATTTATTTGTTGCAATTAATTGTAAATGGAATGAAATGAAGTAAAAATGTGCTGATAATAAAATTTTATATATGTTAATAAATTGACTGGAGAGGAATGAAATTGACTTCTAATGGAATGGAATTTGAATAAATATACTGACATAATATATAATACGATAACATTTACTTAAATCTAAATACTCCTGATGAAGAAAGTGTTTTATATTAGTTTTAGCAACTAAAATTATTATCTTCTTTAGTTGTCTTCATCATAACTTTGGTTTGTTTGATCTGACTAGTTTTTTTTCCAATTTATTTTGACGAACATTACCTATGTTACTATGGTTTGCATCTATGAACCTGCCTCTGCTGGTCCAGCGTTTACTGAGACCTGCTTTAATATTATTAAATGAATAATCAATAATCAATAATCAATAATAGAACTAATTTAAATGGTTTGCAAACCTGTGGCCATTTGGCATATTGGAGTCATCTGGATCTTGATCGCCATTGTAGAACCGATTAAATATATCAAGATGGTTATGTTGATGTAGATGACCTAACGCCGAACGGCGTTGCTGCTGCTGGCGATGACGATGTCGTTGGTGATGTTGGTGATGTTGATGATTTTCATGTTCATGTTCATGTTGATGATGCTGATGCTGATGTTGATGTTGATGTTGATGTTCTTGTTGATGGTGTTCACGTTCATATTGAAGGTGTTGATGTTCATGTTGATGATGTTGATGTTGATGTTGATGTTGATGTGGATATTGATGTTGGTGTTGATGTGGATATTGATGTTGATGTTGATGTAGGTGTTGATGTTGATGTGGATATTGATGTTGATGTTGATATACATATTGTTGCTGATGTGGATATTGATGTTGATGAGAATGTGGAGATTGATGTTGGCGTTGATTTGGATATTGATGTTGGTGTTGATTTGGATATTGATGTTGGTGTTGAATTGGATATTGATGTTGATGTTGATGGCGATGATGGCGATGATGATGATGATGGTGATGATGATGTTGATGTCTATGCTCCTGCTCTTGTTGTTGCAGGTGCAGCGGTTGTTCTAATAGCAGCAACTGATATTGATCTGGCAACAGAATTTGCTCATCCAACTGAGGCTGCTGTGCTAACTGAGGTTGCTCAGCCACTCTTGGTATTTCCGGTAATGGATACTGCTCAGGTGATGGAGGCAACTCATCTAAAGGAGGTTGCTCAGGGGGCAGCTCTGGTGGAGGACATGGAGGACATTGATCTGGAAGTTGCGGTTGTTCAGGTAGCTGAGGTTCCTCAGTTAATGGGAGTTCATCAGGTAATTCGGAATGTTCACATTTTTGCAAATCTTTTTGCGTGCGCTGATGAGCAGGACTCCAATCATTCGGGTGGTGGACTTCGGCTTCAACAAAGTACACATAGCTCGATGTATCAGGGCTACTTAAAGTTGAAGCCAATTGTGGGGTTGGGGGTGGTGGCATAGGTGGTAGGGGTAAGTCCTGCTGATACACTGCTGATAGACGGCTAGCAGAACTTGTTGAAGGAATGTCAGGATTGTCACTCAGAGAGACACTACAACGGTAAAAAACATGCATAATTAATTTCTAAATCAAAATGTTAATTAGTTGAAAAAAATTAATTAGTGGTTTTTAATCAGCACAATGCGTTATATGAAACATAAAAGGCATATAATTGTATTCGTAGCATGTGATCTTTTATACATAATAGATTTTTACTTATATATATTATTTTTACCTTAGCCTGCTACGGCTTGTCGGATATATGGCCTGTCTAAATTCGTATCCGCTCGCACTCCTAGGTGGAGGCGGGAAATTTTGTGGCACATTGTCCATTTCACTTGCTTTAATGGCCTTCTCTAAGTCGGTTTTATCTGCTTCTTGCTGAGAAAGGCGTAGGGCTTCAACCATTTGGCGAAGCTCCTCCATTTTCATGCCTTCTTCATATAATCCGTAACCTATTTGTGAGCACAAATTTAAAATAAAATTATATATAGAAAAATTATGCATAGAAAATAAAAATATAATAAAAAGATGTTAGTAATATCATATTTCTCGTCTGTGTTTGTGATAATTCGGTAGATTTATTGATCTACACATCCAACAATTTAATTTGTAGGTACAAATCAGCGATTCCGTTAGCGAAATTTTCCATTGCAATGACAGCACATTTTTTTTACAAATGTAAATTAATTTATCTCTTCGTATATTTTTAAAAGCAACTTTGCACAGCAAATTAAATAATAATTTTAAAATTAATACAATTTCTCACCCATTAGGATACGTTTAAGTTCATTGAATTCAACTAATCGAGCAGACTCTGCCGCATTCCTTAAATTCGGGTCCATTGGACCGCACGGACTATTATTTTCCTTGGCTTAATAATTTCTATTAGTGCATTCACCGTGGGTAAATGAACGAGTAATACTTCGACAACCGTATTTATAGGCTCAGCCTGCGGTCTAAAGCGACAAAGAACGGGACATCCAAGCAACGGTGCGCGAGTAGCCAAGCGGTTTTGTAACGCAACAAAAGTGTGGAGAGAAAGCGGTCGGATGTGCTGAAGTCTGCACAAAAAACGAATGTCATCGAAGTTAGAACGAATAATTCCTATAAAATAGTTCAATAGCAATTATCCGATTAGTTTTTAAATTAACGAACTTTTATAAACAAATAACAAACTATTTGACGCAAAGAAGCTGCTCTTTCGTATTTTTCAACAAATTTCTTCCAAACTTACAGATTTTGAAAGGAAAAGATAAAGATAATGAGATTAAAATTTTGCTTAACCCTTAACTGTCGAATTAATTTTTTATCTGAAAAATGTGTTGTAAGTTGTGTCACATGTGGAATGTTAGTAGCAATAAAATTATTTTTTAATATTAAAAAATTATTTTTTATTGATAAATGTATACAATAATAATTAAAACGATACAATAATAATTTAAGCAATAATTTTCAGTAAATAAACATTTAAATTAAGTTAAAGTCGTTAAAGAGAATTTATATGTAAAATGTAAGCTAATATATGTAACATATAAAATATGTTAAAAAACATAACATAATATTTATAATAGGTCTGTTCCACGAGCTACTCGTAGTAACTTTGAGTGACGTGTGTACAGTGTCACCAGTATGCGTTCCACCAGCAAATTTACGATTAAATGAGAGCATCTGAGAGGTTGTAACATCCCTGTCGAAATTTGAAAATGCTACACAGACTTTACTCGTATATTTTATTTCAAGTAAAATTTTTATTAATGTGTGAATCAGATGTTTTGGTTTGAATTTAAATTTTTGTATTGTTTATTTGCGTGGCACTGGTGGTCTCGTCTGGTGAGAACACAAAACTGTTACATGAGAATCTGTGTAAAGAGCATAATTTTGCACTTTATTTATGTTACGTTCTCAGTTTCTACTTTACTTGTGTTTTACTTGAGTTTTACTACGAGTAACTCGTGGAACAGACCTAATACATTATTTATTTAGAAAATATTATTAGAGAAAAATAATTATTATTATTACAGAAATTTCATATCATTTTAAATAATTAAAAACAAGACAACTTGAACTTAGACTTATCGAACTTCAGTATATTTTTATATAGATTTTCAATGGATATTGTATGAAAAATTGCTTAAATTGTAACAAATTGTGCGAGTTAAATATAACAGTCTGAACATATTATAAAGATCATGTTATACTATATATAAACAGCCAAAATTCCATAATTTCGTTACAATGAAATTAAATTAATTTGGAAAGTGATCACACTGCCCCAAATTAAGAAAATCATATGCTTTTTGTTTACAAATTGTATATTCAAAATTACATGCACAAAACACTAATTTGTCTGTGAAATTTTAAAAGTTTTTTCTTATAACCATAAAGAATGACAAGCAGTAGTTTTATTAACTTTAGTGGATTTCAGGTATGTGGATAATTATTTTTCATTCTATTTTAAATTAATAACAGTTACACTAGTTTCAAAATATTTTCTTGGTTTTATTAAAGTCAGCTGTATTTAGAAATAAATGTCACTTTACGTTATCTCAATTTATCATTTGTGAATACCTTAACATATTTATATATATATATATATATATAATTATATAAGTATCGAACTTTATTAATACATATTTGTCCGGTACGATACGTGTAGTAAATCATATTACTTGACATATCTACATACATAGCAACACCCAAAAATATGGCAAGACATGATCGATCACACGATATACATGGGCGTACACAGGTAAGGACAGGGGTGACAGCGATTGACAGACTTCAGTGCATAATATATGGGAGATATGTTATACAGACTGATTATGCATACTAGGTTAAGTTAAGTTATGCTGGCGATCTAAAGGATCCACTTAGGCCTATTGGCCCATTGTGTTATTATTTTAAATAGGTCAGAGGGTGAGTTAAAAAAATTAATACTGCATAAGATTAAGATTTTAATCCTTGTTGTTTAATAGATTTGTAGGATTTTTACAATAAATTACAATAATTGTTACCAGTGGCGTGTTTAGGTAAAGATTAGAGGATAAATTCTTATACTACAGATTGTAGACTACACAACAAAAACACAAAAAATAATTATTTCGCAAAAATATTTTCTAGTATAGCCCCACTTGGCACAATCCTGGCTACCCCAATAAGAGTTACTTTGGTTCTTTGTATGTGAAAGTCATTTGCAATTTATGTTGAATACTTTTGTCGATTTTTATTATATTTGGAAAAAGTGCGATTTGGTTAATATAACAATTTAATAATGGTAAATGTTTTTCAATATATTAATTGACTAACATAAGTCAATCACGTTTTATTATTTAAAACGATATTAAATTTATTTGGCGACCTAGTTCTTCTTAACAATGTTTCTTATATATTTTTTATCCGGCTATAGGTTCGGCTAAATATCATTTCATATCATTGATAATTATGATTTAAATATAAATGTGACGTCCTTAAATGCTTTGAAATTCTTCTCTCATTCACTCTTCTCTCATTTTATTCCATATTATATTTCTAGTATTTTTAAATCGGTTTTAACAGCACCAAACTTTTTTCTTAAGAAGAACATTAATTAATTGGCACTTAGACAGAAGCTTATTTTGCTACTCTTTCGCTACATATTCCAACTGCATGGTCCAACTATTCTAAGTGCTGGAATTTTATATATCTAGAAGCACCTGCAGTAAACTTAATTTTTATACAGGATCCTTTTTGAATGTGTATCTACCAAGAGAGAGGGGCGAATTTAGAAAATATTTTTGCAGTTCAGCTGATTTTTAATTATATATTAGATTGTGAAATGTGGGGAATCTTTCCACACATCCTTTATTTCTAAATACGCCACTGTATATTTTCTCGTATCTATTATATTATCTGCAAAATATTTTATATCTATATAATATTATTTATTACATCATTTTCATATAATTTTTATTATTACAACATGTATGTATGAAAAATCCTATGAATATAAAGTTCAATGAAATAGATTATTTTAGATAAACCTAGATAATCACATTTGTCTCTTGTGCTTTATCATTTGTCTTCATCTTCGTAACAATATGTCAAATCCAAATCAATTGATCACTAGAATATTTGGGTCTCTTTTTGCTTATACTGCAATTATCTGTCTCCATAAACATTCGCATATGCGTGAGTGGTGGTACGCAGAAAAAAGTCTACAAATTATTTTGGCGTTTTGTTACTATTCTTCGGTATTTTCGGCACTTCTTAAATAACGCGATCAGTCGGTTGGGTGTCGGTGGCTTCATTTGTTACAAAGTTTTAGTGAAATTAAAAAAATGATTAAAAGCACTGTTCTTTTTTTAATGATAGGTGGTTTTTTTAGTTTTTATATACTGTTAGTAATTTTGTTTATATGTTTATATTTGGTGTTAATGCGTGCACGTGTAATTGCACAAAATATTGCACAGGCGATTACACGCTACCGTATGCGACTACGACGACAAATTTAAAAAAAATGTGCAATTGTTTTAATTTTAATAAATATCAACATAAATAATTTTAATGTTTATAAGTCGGTTAATTATTATTAAGTTTATAAATTACTAAATATACATATATGTTCTTTAAATGCATTTTTGCAATTGTTGCTGGGTGCCATATTACTCATATGATTTTGTTTATGAAGCAACATGTTATTGTGGGTATGTTGCAGTTGTTGTTGCTCTGAGTCTGCGTCAACTGAAGAAGAAGAAGAAGAAGGAAATGAGTTTGAAGTAAGTGCTTTTTTTTGCTTAAGTAAAAAAAGTAATATTATTTATCAAAAAATAATAAATTAAGTTTTGCTGCCATTAAATTCGTGTGTAGTTTTATTAAAATTGAAAACACAGTGTTTATATACATAGACATACATACATACATACATATGTTGATATCTTCTGTAAAAAATGCAGTTTGCAGCCTTGCTTTCCAATTAAACCAAACAAAAAAAAACATTGACATGCCGGTGGGAATTTCACCACAATTTGCCCTCAAATTAAGCTATTGGTTCTTTAATTACCATTAATATTATTAATAAAAAAAATTATTAATAAATAAAAATTAATAATAAAAAAAAATTAATAATAAAATATAATTTTTTATTAAAAAATAATAAAATTTTTTTTATACTTTGCCCAAAATTTATTTCGCTATTAGTTATACATATATTGAACAGTCAACCTTGGCTTTGTGTTAATAAAATTTTTTTTTTTTTTATTTTTATTTCCACTGGTTGCAATGCATTTCAAACTGAAGTTTTTAAATTCTCCTTTTTTCCCAACAGTGCCTCACATATTTAAGAGTGTAGACTCTTAAGACTATATCGCTTTATGTATGTACATACATACATATGTATGTATTCACTTACGAAATTATCTGTACCGTTACACATTTAAACAAAAAAAATTTATTAACAGAGAACAAAAAATATTTGCATTTCTCTGCAGTGAGAAAAATTGTATTTGTTTTTCTTTTTTTTAACTAAATTCGCATGTGTCACTTAAAATAATCAGGAGAAATGCATAAAAAAATGTAAAAATTGTTTATTGCTATTGTTATGCTATTGCTATTTATTATTATTGTTATGCTGCAGAAATTATGTTTTTTTATAAGCTTTTTGTTTTATTTTTCAAAAAAAAAAAAAAAAAAAAAAAATAGGATAGTTACCGGCAATGATGTTAACAGACGCAACGTATAAATTCAATGCATGCAAACTTTGCTATAGCTATCAGCGCAGAAGCTTTATCGGCGGCATCGGAGGCGTCGTCGTCTGCATTTCAAGTATTTCTAATGCATTTTAATTTTCTTGTTAGTTACGTCAACTGCGACGCAAGCGTTTAAGTTTGTAACAAGTAAAAATATTTCTTAAGAAAGTGTTGATGTTTTATTATATATCGAAAAAATAAAAATAAATTATAAAATAAAAAAAAAAATAATATTTCATTGCAATTAAAATTCTTTTACTTGAACAGAATAAAATTTTTTCTTATGAACTCCACTGCGGTCGGCGTTAAGATTTAACATCAACTGCGACGCAGCTTCACTTAAATAGAAATAAATATATTTACGTCTGCGTACATTATTCAAATATATGTTATCTAAAACTTAGTTGTTATAATTGATGAATTACGCGTTATAAAATTACATATTAGACGCTATAACACCTATTTAAAGAAAATAAATAAAAAATAAAAATAAAGGAAAAAAACTAGATAGTTTTGTTTTAAATATTTTCGCTTATTTCTGCAATATTAACGTTGATTTTTAGTATTAAAAAAAGTTGTTTAGAAATCAGAATTTTTTTTTATTTTAATTATAATTAATAACGTTTGCGACGATGATATGTGCTGTCAGTTAAACGTAAAAAGCTTCTCTGCTAACAGTTACGCAGGCGCTGTGAAGTTTTTTTTTACACTTGTGACAGAAATACTCTCACTTACGTTAGCCGTAACTGCGGCGTCAGCTTCACGCATAGACCAACAATTATGACGTTGTGAAGTGCTATGTTATTATTTCCGTCAACATATACAGTGGTATTGTTTGCTGTTGTGTTGTTACTTCCGCGCTATGTAAACAAAAAATTAATCAGGATTTTTTGTAAACAAATTTATAACAATTTATATCCAAATTTTTAATACATTAAGAAATTTGTTTATAAATTTATAAAATTCAGAGAATAAATTTTTCTTATTAATTCTGTCTATAAAATTTAAAAAAAAAATTTAAATACAAAAAAGTTGCCTTCGTTGCAATGTCGGTTTGCAGGTTTTTTGCTATGAGATGTTGAGAATGTTGCTTAACTGGGGTGACTTAGCTATGTAAACAAAAATGTAAAGGAATTGTTTATAAAGAAAATTTTGAATATTGTTATAAAATTTTCATGTTCGAAAATTAAAAATAAAAATTAAAACAATAAATTTTAGAAATTGAAGAAAGTATTGAAAATACTAAAGAAACTTTTATTAAATTAGTTTATTAGTTTATTAAATTAAATAAAATAAAGCAAAAAAATCAAAAAAATTTTTGAAAATGTGAAGAAAAAAATTAAAAAAAAAAATAAAAAAAAACTTGAAGAAAAAATTGAAAAAAAATAATAATTTATTGTTTAGTCACTAAAATTTGTAATAAAAAAATTTTTTTTTTAATTAATTAGCCCGTTTCAAAAACAAAGTTATTGTAAAAAAAATTAAAGAAAATTTCACATATTTTTTTTTTAAGAAAAAAATTGAAAAAAAAAATTATTCTACAGCTGATTTATGATTTATGATACAGCTGATTTATGAGTAATATAAACACAGTAAGTGAATTTGTTAATAAAAACTCCAGAAAAATGTGCGAACATAAAAAATTCAAGTACCGTTTTGGATTAGTTGGCTCATGAACGCTGACTCTGAGTTTTAAATTTGGTAGGGCACAATTAATTAAAATAATATAAAATGAATTTTTGTTGTTATAGTTTACTACTTTTTAAAAACTATAAGAAGAAAATTGAAAAAAAAAGTTGAACAAAATAAATTAAAAAGAAAATAAAAAAACAAATAAAAGAAAAAAAATTAAAAAACAAAAATTAAAAAAAAAAAATTAGAGGAAAATAATTAAAAGAATAAAAATTGAAGAAAAAATTAAACTATAAAATTTTTCTAAATTTATTTTTCGACCTGTTTATTAAAATGGTTTTTTTATATATTTTTATTTTGGCCGTAGGTCCCTTCTTGTTAAATAATAAAAAATATTAATATACATATATGTATATAAAATGTTCAGTGTTTTAGAAGCTTATTAAAACTTTGTTTATAAACTTTATGGATTAAAACAGAAAAATACACGCATATGCATACATAATAATTATATGCAAAAGCATTTGTAAAAGTTTTTCTAAAACGCAAATACTTTATATATAGAAAGTTATATAAAAAAATTGTAGAAAATTAGCTGTGTTATATGCAGAAATTTAGTTTAAATTGTTTTGTAACAAATTGTTTATTAATGAAACATTTACGGTGATGCTAAATAGTAAACATTTATAAAAAAGTTAAAAAAAAGTTTTAAAATTATTTCATCTCTTATTTTATTTGCAGTTAAATAGCGATTCATGTAAGCAACTAACATATTCTGCTACTGATGCCACAATTGTTGCTGCTTTTAACAACTTTGCTTTAGCGCATATGTTAACAACATCCTGTTAACTTCTTATTGTTTCATTTTAACAGTTAACTAAGAACAGAGGTGAGTTCTATCTGTTTTTATAATAAAAAAAGAATATTAATTAATTTTCCAGCTTCCAGCATTAAATTTGTTGCCGTTGAAAACTGGTAAGAGACTTATTATAATTTATAACATTTATTATAAAAGATTTATTATTATTATTATTGCTAAGTAATTTAGATAGTTGCTTGACATTTTATCGCCACATGCCATATCTCTAAGTTGATGTTGATCTGAATGGATCTATAAAGCATATAACATAAAAGGAATTATAAAGACGTATGCATAGATTAGGATGTGTGTAAATAGTGCTGGTGAGAGAGAGGTAGAGATTTTTTGAAAGTAAGAATAGATTGAGGAGTTCCAGTAACAGCTGGGTCTACGTCGCGGAGCCACTCGTCATATACGACGATTTCTATGGGTAATTTTCTATGGGTGCAGCCATAGAAATCTAGCTACCTCAAGGTAGACCCCCAAAAGTGTCACACAATCTGATCTTTATGATTGTTACGCTTGGTTGGTCTATATAATTAATATGTTCTGTTGGTCTATATGGTTGATATATTTGATACATATAAGTTCTATTTACTTGATATGTTTGGTTGGTCTATATGATTAATTTGTTCGGCTGGTCTGTATAGTTAGCGGTGTGGTCATATGTTTGCAAAGTGATTTCTATACACAGTTTTATTACATTACATTCCCAGGCTTGGTCTTCCTTCATTTCACTTATTTAAGTATGATGCTACTAATTACAGTTACTAATCATTATTTCTTTGACTTCTTATTGTCCATATAAATCTAAACATGCAACCAATGTGATTGTTGTTGCTTTTACGTTTTTGCATATAAACATGTTGTTGTTGCTGTTGGTATTATTGTATAGTCATTTGCAACACATTCTTTTTCACAAAAAAAAAAAAAAAAAAAAAAAAAAAAAAGAAACGAAACCAACTTCAAATAAAACGCTTACTCAATTTATTTTCACTTAACTTGCTTTGTGTGTGCGTAAACTTTTTTAGCGCCTGCAAGTATGCAATATCATCTTGCAAAATGCTTTTATCGTACTGTGGATACTTAATGGGTTGGCTGCTGGGTTGCTTGGTTGCAACAAAGTGAATTTCAAATAATAAAAAATTAGAAGAAAACTATAGCTCAGCATTTTTGGTTGAACTTTCGTTGTTGAAAGGAGAACAAAACAAAAACAAAAACAAAAATAAAACTAAAAAAAAAAAAAATTTGACAAAATAGTGAATTTAAAAATTCGTTTTTAATGTAAAAAATATGAAACTCAGACATTTTGGTTTAAAGGTCGCCTCGTAACTGATTTCAACCGAGTACGCCACTTAAGTGGGTTGCGCTGCATGGGCGGTTTCATTTTACTTTGAATTTGTGGTGTACTTTTGTCTTGTTTGCGCTTTACTGTTTTCTTAATGTTGACTTAAAGCTTCTATTTACGTCTATGTTGTAAGCAAACACTTCGCAAAATTGTTTACAAATTGCAAAATAATTTTTACAAAAAATGAAGCGCAATTCCGTAAAACACAACACAACACAACACAACAAATCAAAAAAAAAAAAAAAACAAAAAAAAATACACTTTGAGTGGTGAACGTACACGTCGCATAAAAATTCCATTTGTTTCCGTTTCATTTCGCTGACTGACGTAAAAAATCCTTTCCGAATTAAACAAGCGAAACTACTAACAAGAAACGGAGAAACGTAATAAAAGAAACGTAACGTACGTACGTATGATGCAGTGGCGGTGTGGACGTTAAGTGAGGCGTGGCGTGACTGCATTGGCTACTATGGCGGAGTGCTTAGTATAATTTACCGCTGCTATGGGAACGCTGCAAGATAAGTAGCCTTAAGCTGATTTAAGTTGAGCTATGCAAATTGAATTTTTCTCCCACAAAGTGCTGCCAACAAATGTCAGCGAGAACATCCTCACAAAAAATTGAAGAGAATTGGGGTATCATTAACAAAGAAGAGAAGAATAAAATGAAACAGAAAAATTATTAAAACATTCAAAAGTTTCTAGTAAATTTTTTTTTATGAAATATTTTTAGAATTTTATTAGTTTATATACCTCAGTACTTAAAATTTGAACTGCACTCCAAGGTACAGTTAATACCTTGGCTCTTATATTTAAAGCGTTCAATGTTAATTGAATACATTTTTTGTTGTTGTAGTATATACATACTGATCTATCTAAAACTTTTAGAAGAGGTGAGTGAGACTTAGTCGTCTTTAAAGACGAATGGGTCCATGAGGTTGTTTTCTAATAATTTGTTTTCTCACAATGATTTTTTCTTTTTGGTAAATTGTTTAATTTCATTCGACTCTCTTGGTTTTTAAATGTTTCAAAATTAGAGTACGAGAAGAAAGAAAGACGAGAGAGAGAAGAGAGAATGAGGAGAGAGAGAAGAGAGAAAGAGGAGAGAGAGAAGAGAGAAAGAGGAGAGAGAAGAGAGAAAGAGGAGAGAGAGAAGAGAGAAAGAGGAGAGAGAGAAGAGAGAAAGAGGAGAGAGAGAAGAGAGAAAGAGGAGAGAGAGAAAGAGGAGAGAGAGAAAGAGGAGAGAGAGAAAGAGGAGAGAGAGAAGAGGAGAGAGAGAAAGAGGAGAGAGAGAAGAGGAGAGAGAGAAAGAGGAGAGAGAGAAAGAGGAGAGAGAGAGGAGAGAGAGAGAAAGAGGAGAGAGAGAGGAGAGAGAGAAAGAGGAGAGAGAGGAGAGAGAAAGAGGAGAGAGAGAGAAAGAGGAGAGAGAGAAAGAGGAGAGAGAGAAAGAGGAGAGAGAGAAGAGGAGAGAGAGAAAGAGGAGAGAGAGAAGAGGAGAGAGAGAAAGAGGAGAGAGAGAAAGAGGAGAGAGAGAGGAGAGAGAGAGAAAGAGGAGAGAGAGAGGAGAGAGAGAAAGAGGAGAGAGAGGAGAGAGAAAGAGGAGAGAGAGAGAAAGAGGAGAGAGAGAAAGAGGAGAGAGAGAAAGAGGAGAGAGAGAAGAGGAGAGAGAGAAAGAGGAGAGAGAGAAGAGGAGAGAGAGAAAGAGGAGAGAGAGAAAGAGGAGAGAGAGAGGAGAGAGAGAGAAAGAGGAGAGAGAGAGGAGAGAGAGAAAGAGGAGAGAGAGGAGAGAGAAAGAGGAGAGAGAGAGAAAGAGGAGAGAGAGAAAGAGGAGAGAGAGAAAGAGGAGAGAGAGAAGAGGAGAGAGAGAAAGAGGAGAGAGAGAAGAGGAGAGAGAGAGGAGGAGAGAGAGAGGAAGAGAGAGAGAGGAAGAGAGAGAGAGGAAGAGAGAGAGAGGAAGAGAGAGAGAGGAAGAGAGAGAGAGGAAGAGAGAGAGAGGAAGAGAGAGAGAGGAAGAGAGAGAGAGAGTGAGATTGTAGAAAAAGTATTCATTCAATGTTACTAAAAAGACCACTCAAACACAATGCTTATATGCAAAATGTTGTGAGACAACGTAGAGAAGGAATAAAAAAAACTAAAAAAAAAAACGACAATTCGTTTAGATCCCTCATCGCACGCAACGCTATTATCTCTCTAGCCAGGATATATGTAAAAACAATTTTTATGAATTGAGAGAGTAGTAAATGCTAATTTTCAGCAAAAATTTATTCTAAAAATGACAAGTGTAACTTCAAAAAGTAACAGTATTGTACCAGGTTTACACTTAAATTTATCGAACCTTTCTATTATATCTTCATATGGATTTTGAAAGAAAAAAAGCATATATTGCTTTATTTTTGTCGAGTCAGTTATAGACAATTTTACAACGTTCACTTAAGGGCCGATTTGACATTTAATAGATTTTTGCAGTTTTAATTGACATTTAAAGGTTACTTGTCAATCAAATAATTCTCTTTCAACCTAATCTATAAAATAATTTATCGTTTTTGGCTTTAGAGGTAAGCATAAAACAGCTTTAAATTGAAATTATATTATGATCATTCTATGATTTTACTAGCATTGCCATATTTTTCATAATTATAATCTTCCTTTAAGTATTTACGACCTGCAATAAAACGCATACTACACTTAACTTAAGGGAACCTTAAACGTGCATTGTAAAACTTATTCTTAGATTCCTTCTGCAAGACACATGAAGCCCAATAAAGTAGAGATTCATAAACAATAACAGAAATTCATTTACATTAAAATATAAAAGTTACACCAACGCTGCTAAGTTAGAAACAACATCGTAATCATTTTTAATTGTTTTACATACAGATTTAAAATTAACTTATTATACCTCGCTATCTTTGGTGTGATGAATGTTGCATTACTTCCTACATTACTGTCTGCTGATGGAGAATTATTCTTGATAACTTCACTTGATATTACTTGTTCTTGTTCAGGTGTCTCTATTATTACATTATCACTCATTTCATTTTCATCATTTGAATCAGTTTTGGAAAATTTTCCATTAAGGCATGTTAGACTACACCCGCAATTTAACGTGCATTTCTTAGTGTTCGAATAACATCCGCAACGCTTGTTGATGCATTTACCACGACACTTACAGCCTTTCTCTCTCCGTTTGTTACCTGTTCCGTTGGCGTTGTTGGCGTTGTTGGCGCCAATGTTTTCGGACCCGTTGCTCGTAACAGCATGCGTTTCGTCCATTGAATGGGACGAAGTATCTGATTTATTTCGAAAAGTCTATAATTCAATTTAGTGACAAAATACCAAAACCCGAAAATATATATTTACCGTTGATCGTTTATTTGGTCGTCGAAACCTTGGCGTTTTTATCCAATCTGGATCAGTTTTACTTGAAGTGTTCATTTCATCTTCTTCTTCTTCACTAGACATTAGCTCTTCAATATCATCTTCAAGTATGGGCTGTGTATTAAATAAATAAAATATATTTATAGCACATATTTTTAAAATTATGATATTTCATATAAAAAAAACTTTACCTCAGTTAGTTGCTTTTTCTTTTGTAACTCTTCTTCTTGTTTTTTATAAGATTCTATTACTTCTTTCATTTCATCTATTTTATCGAAATATTCTTCCTGAATCTTTTTCGTTTCAGCAGAGTTATTTTCAGTGGATTGAGTACTGTGCAACTGCCGCAGCAACACAGAAATCCTCTCTTCATACATACTCTCCCGACTGTTCATCATTTGCTCATGTTCAACTTCCATTGTGCGCATACGTTTCATAACCCCGTTGCAGCGTTCATCGACAGTTTCAATTGTGTTACGTAGTTCATCCATTGCAGTTTTTTGTTCCTGAGAGCGATTAGCATGTTCTCGTCGCATATCAGAAACAGATTTTATCAGATGTTTAATGACCATACGCGCTTCACTAATACTGTACAAGCCGTCACAAAACGTACGTACGCGTGTCTCAAAATCAGCAGCACAAACTTTTTGCTGCATTTCTGTTATTTGCGCATTACGGAGCTCTAACTCAAGCTCCAAGTTAGCAAGCTCTTGTGCTTCAGGTGTACCTACAATTACCGGCTGTTCTTTCAAATCTCGGATACGATTACTAATAATAGCGCGGTCATCCATTAAATTGTCCAAGGAATGTTCAGCGTCAATTA